AAGGAGCAATCAGCAAAGTGAGCTTAGTGCTTGGAAAAAATCTTTCATTCCTTTAGAGACAGCATGAAAAGTCAGCTGAGTACAAAACATAGAGAGGAAAACAAGAAGAAAAGGGACAAGAAGAGAGGGACACAACCTAGAACAGATAATGGATGTCTATTCTATGAACATTTCTATATCTGTAGAATGGAGCTGTTTGATGTGTTGTCTTTGCTTAGGGCCCCACATTTCCTAAATCCGCCCCTGTCTTCAGACTCTGATTCAGTGTTTGAGTCGTCCTGCTTTGGACCCTGAGGAGGTGCAGAGATGTCCTCCGTCCTCCTCCCAGATGGACGGGAACCGTCGGCGCTCCGGGTCAACCCAGCAGAGGTTCCAGCTCTGGAGATCAAACTGGGAGCGCTGGTGGTCCTGCTGTCCGTCACTCTGCTGTTCGGGTTCGCTCCTCTCTGCATCATCCGGGGGGGAGGCGGCCGCTGCAGCGTAGACCCAGGTACATCCAGGTGCAGGACCTTAAGGGAGCCACAGAACCAGAAACGTAACGCTGAGACCGTTTCCGGTGTGTTTTGCAGACTCCCGCCGCCGCCTGCTCAGCTGGATCAGCTGCTTCTCTGGAGGCGTCTTCCTGGCCACCTGCCTGCTGGACCTGCTGCCGGACTACCTGCAGAGCATCGGCGAGGCCTTCACCAGCGCTGGGATCAAAGTACGAGCGCCACACGCACGTCACATGTTCAAACAGCCGAGGCGACAAAAACATCTGAACCCTGTCAAAGTCCAGAAATCTGCCAGGTTCTGCAGAACTTAATGGATCCAACCTCACATCCAGGAAATAACTACTGGATCATTTCTACTCTACGAAAAAGGAACAAATTTAAGCTGCAGATTAACTGAGATCAATTAGTAATCAGAACTCTATTAATATCCTTAATGGTGTTTATTACAGGGTGGGGTGGGGGGGTATAATACTTAGTGCTAAGCCGAGGTAGAAAGATTGCAAAAATAAATATTTTTTAAAAAGTAGAATATCTTAGATTAGAGCT